TCATATATTCGACATTATAGGATCTATGACATTTTGATATATAGTGTAAGATCTTTTAATAATGTAATAGGCAATATTTGGTCTAATTGCACTCATCGATGTAGTTTTTTACGGGCTTCAATTTGGTATAAAATACTTAGTGAAATCATTTAACCTTAAGGTCAAACCAGGGGGCGTAAAGGTTTTGCAGCGCCCTGTAAAGCAGATAGAACGCTAGTAGATTAGAAAAGGAAGCTCAAGTATATCATACAGTTTCCAGTTCAAAAAGAACTATAGTTCCCGTTCGCGGAAACTGGAACTGGTAAACCGTTCCTCGTTTCTAGAAACATGAATTGCTGAACCGTTCCTAGTTCAGAACTGAAAGTGAAAAACCATTCCCGTTTATTGAGCGGGGAACTAAAAAATAGTTCCCGTTTATTGAATGGGAACTGCGAACTGTCTCAGGCCTAGTCTGGAGGTTCGGAAAGGTTGTGTAAAGAAAAACATTTTCCCCCGAAAATTAGGTCCTAGGTGAGGGAAATACCAATTCAGTTTTTCACGCAGATTACAAATCTGGCTTTTATTTTGTACCAAATTACATTGTCTTAGACAAAAAAAGAGAATTATTGTTCAGTTTGACGCGAGTTTTGCTCTATTGATCAACATTGTAAAACATTTTCAGATGTCTGGCGAAACTTTCAAAATTCTTATCTTCCACTCAACTTGTACTAAACTGTCACCTCTAGAAAATCCGTCTGTGTTTTCAGGTGTCGCGTTATAAACAGAGTTAAAATAAAGAACTTAAACAAAAGTTTGGCGTTTTAAAGTTTCAAAAAATTCAATAATTTTAATTTATTGACTTGAATTTTAAAAGTCCATAATAGCTGAATTATACATTTTGTTCAGTATTTTATGCACTGTCAAGTGATATATTGAATAAAAAAGTCTGATGTAACGAGTTGAAACTATAATTAGAAAAACAAAATTTGCGGCTTTTTACTCATTTCGAAAAAGCTGAATTTCTTAGGAAGCGTTGGCTTGATTCGATCATGCACGCTCCTATAAGAGATACGAGTCGCTGGTATAACGAAAAAGCTTTATAATCCTTAAGTACAGAGTTTTCATTTGCACAGCTGATTCCATCTTTTAAGCGAATTCTTCTAATTGTCACTGACAACGGCTGTTAGTAACACGCATATATAGAAGTTATTCGTGTTTTTCATAAAAACCTATGTAGCTCTTTTAGATTCAATCAATCTCTATGTTCTTGTTACGCTGTAATCTGTTCTTCTCTGTGACCTGCTCCTCCGAAATGTATGAATTTGGGTTTTAATCCTTCTAATTTCTCCTAAAAAGTAGGTAGACAACACCTCATTTATACGCGCGTTTTCTTCCAGATCAGCCACGATCCGGTAAACTTTTCATTTAAAGCTTGGCATCTTTCTCTGTTCCATTCGTCGAACTTTTCAACAACAGCTTCAAATGTTCACTTGTGTTTATTTTTTATAATTGTGTTTTAGGGTCTTTTTCAAGTTCTTGGCACTATCGGATTAGTTAGTGCTATTAATGCATATGCTCTCCTTCCAGCTCTTGTTGCCGTTGCTGGCATGGTATATGTACGATCATATTATGCACCATGTTTAAGGGATTTAAAACGTTTAGAGGGAACAAGTATGTATTTAATATTTAGTTGTAAAATAAATGTTCTCTTTCTTTCTTTGCAGCAAGGAGTCCTGTTTATTCTCACTTATCATCAACAATACAGGGACTAAAAGTCATTCATTCTTATCATGCTGAGCAATTATGTTCAAATGAATTTCTTGAACACTTAAATACCAATACAAAAGCAAATTATTTAATTATAACAGCAGCTAAATGGGCTGGCAAGTAGTTTTTAGTGTTTTTTCCATTTCTTTTTAAAATAAATATTTTCTTTCTTTCTTTCTCAGCAATTCGGTTTGATTGGCTGTCTGTGGGATTCATTGCTCTTGTTACCATTTTGGCAATGTTGCCAAATATCAGAGAACGTTTGAATGCAGCTGAAATTGCTCTGACGCTTATTTATTCATTAAATTTAATGGTTCTATTTCAATGGATGGTAAGACAATCGGTTGAAGTTGAAACACACATGACAGCAGTTGAACGTGTACTAGAATATTGTCGACTTGAACAAGAACCACCATCAGAAGTTCCCGAGTATAAACCAAAATCAAATTGGCCATCACGTGGAAAAATTGAGTTTAAAAATGTATCATTTCGTTATTCATCAAATGAGCCGTATGTGTTGAAAAATTTACGATTGACAATTAATTCAGGTGAAAAGATAGGAATTGTCGGTAGAACAGGTGCGGGGAAAAGCTCGTTTATTCAGACAATATTCCGGATGGCCGAATGTGCTGGTGGAGAAATATTAATTGATAATATAAATATATTTAAATTGGGTCTAAATGACTTACGGCAACGAATATCAATCATTCCACAAGATCCTGTGTTATTCACAGGTACAATGCGCAACAATTTGGACCCATTTGGTAGTCACACAGATACTGAAATATGGAAATCATTAGAAGAAGTCTGTTTGTCTGTCTCTTTTATTTATCACACTGTTCTCTTATTGTTATTGTTATTTAGGTACAATTAAAATCACTTGTTGATAATTATATGACGAATGGGCTAGATTCTCATGTTAGTGAAAGTGGGTCAAATTTAAGGTACTCAGACTTAACACTATTAGATTAGTAATTAGCTATTAAATGACTGTTAATGAGCACGCGCCACGTATCTCCTTTTAGCGTTGGTCAAAAACAATTGGTGTGTTTAGCGCGTGCAATTTTGAAAAAAAGTAAAATACTTGTGATTGATGAAGCAACGGCAAATGTTGATCATGCGTAAGTTTATCAAGAGGAATCTAGTTGTACGACCATTTCTCTGAAACAATCCCATTTCAAATAGTGAGTAGTTTCTCTAAAACTGGACCTAATTTTATTATAAACAAACATCTTTCCCAACGAATATTTTAATAAAAACTTCCTTTCGCTAGTAATAATATTCTTGAATTGAGCCTGTCAAAAAGAAATAGCTCCTTTTACAACGCCTGATTGATCGGTTAAGGATACCTCTCCGCTCATTTTGGGCTTTCCGTAGAAATGCTGCGAAATAAAACTAAAACGCACTAAGCTTCATATTTTTAGAACTGATTGTAAACTCAATGATTTTTGTTTCAACTTTTTAACTATTGCCGTTTACCAGTTTCCCAGATAACTCGGTTTTTCATTGGACCACATTACGACCTCCCTTAAATTTCATCCAGAGCCGTAAACAGGAAGTCAACTTTGGCGAGATAAAAAATTTTTTTGGGAAGTGTAAGAAAAAAGCTTTAATTTCCGCTGAGAGGAAAGCGCAAATTTTCATTTTTGGGGAAGTTGGGGAAGTGTGCAGTTTTAACTTGATCGGATGGAATTCAAGGGGGGTTCATAATGTGGTCCAATGGGAAACTGGTAAACGGCAATAGTTAAAAACTCACGCAATAGTTAAAAACAAAAACGAAAAAGTGCTTCATTGAGTTTACAACCAGTTCTGAAAATATGAAGCCTTAGTGAATCTTAGTTTTTATTTCACAGCATTTCTGCGGAAAGCCCAAAACGAGCGGAGGGGTAACCTTAAGTCGGCTGTCAGAATATGGTCAACTCAGCGATATCTTAGGCAAATAAATCACGCACATATTACCTGCCACCAGACACTGAAGAGCCATGTGACAAGTTGGCTATAGTCTTGTTTGGAGAGGTTGCACTAGTTGATTCAATAATCTTTGTTTTAGAACGGATGAATTAATTCAAAGCTCAATTCAAGAAAAATTTCGTGATTGTACAATATTAATAATAGCACATCGTTTAAGAACAGTGATTGATAGCGATAGAATTATGGTATGTATAACTACTTGTGTTCCAAGCCTAACTGGTGCCAATCCTCATAGCCTAAGATTCGAACTGGTGCATGCCTATCCGTTACAGTCCATCAGAAAGAGACAATTTTTTTTAACTTGTGGGAAAGATTTATGGTTAGAGCTTGACAGAACCTAATTTTTGATTTTCGTTTTTATTTTGCGCATATATGAAGTTCTCTACAGAAACAGGGATTTTTCAGATTATTAGCTTGTAAATCTTACCAGAAATCACAAAACCAAACATTCAGCCATCGTCCTCACACAATACAATAACTCCGAGCTCAGTAGCATCCATGTGGAAAAAAAATTTGGTGTATTGGCAAAGTCCTAATTTTCATTTTTATTATGCCTGACAGGTTTCTGACAATGGGAAGGGTCCTTAAATTTTTCTATTTAAATCGCCATACAAAGTCAGGCTTCATTCAATACTGAGCAAGTTTTTATCCGATCAAGATAGAAAGTTCATTCTTCTTATGCTTTTATTTACAATCGTTTTTAGGTGCTTAATAATGGTGAGGTAGTTGAATACGATTCTCCCTATAATCTGTTAGAAAATCCAATATCATATCTGTCTGAATTAGTACAACAAACAGGAATGGGCGAATCAGATCATTTAAGAACATTAGCACAGAAAGCATTGATTAAACGACAACAACAACAGCAACAAAAACAACCACAAATCGAGGATGAATACAGTGAGGATGATCAACAAATTCAAGCTAATGAAAAAACTCCTTTATTAAGAAAATAAACGACAACTCATTCTATTATTGTATAAAACTAAGTCATTGTGTATTATCTTATTGTTACATTACAGTATTTTATAATTTTACACCTATGAATACTATGCACAACGAATATATAATTTGATATAAGCTATTATTTGAAAACGAAAGAAATCAGCATTTTTAAACAGTCTCTACCCACCGAAATAGTGACAAACTCCCTTTGTAATTTATTTTGGCAAATGTTTTTTCTTTTCTTTTTTATATTGCGTTTTCCACGCATTTTAAGGGTAAAAATATTCCTTTCTACATGAACGCATTCTTACATCAAAACGGTCCCAAGCCGAACGACGTTGTAGTTCTCTTTCTGCAGTGAAATTCCGCTTATGTTCATTGTTGTAGAAATCAGAATTTGTATTTCGCACACAAACTTTGTCAAGTGCTGCACCTTAATAATGGGAACCAACTGCAATGACTACTAACGCGAGAAGCGCAAAAAGTGTCACATCACTTTTTTACTAAAAAATATAGGATTAATGGTAATCGATTATGTTTCTGAAACACATGCTCCATCAATGGCAAAGCTCGCGCCTGGGAACGGAAAACAACAACAGTCTAAGAAAACAGCAATAAGTAATGATACAAAACTTAGCCCTGTCCTCACTTAAGCCAAATCAACTTCGAATTCAAAATCCACTACGGTTTACACCACGAGACAAAATCCGACAGGTTACTGTTTGAAACCAATATGAAAATGCAGATAATTGACCACAGTCAGGCTTGCTACTCAAACACCGTCGTTATCGCACAAGCATTTCGTCT